ACACGAAGTCTAAATATCCAGCTTCCTCAACTAACCCTTCGCGAACGCGAGGACCCTTCTCGCGAACGCGAAGGTCATTTTTCTACAGCACTGACCTGCAATTTTCTGCAGGTTCCAACTTCATGGAATGGCCCGATTGACCACCCAAAACTCACCCGAGGCCCCCGGGACTTCAACCAAAGGCACTAACATATCCCAAAACCTTATTCAAACTCGTACCAATCTTCAAAACACCTCAAACAACATCAAATCGACCAAAACACATCGGATTCAAGCCTAAGTTTTCAAAAACTTCTAAATTCCGCTTTTGATCAAAAACCCGACCAAACCACGTTTGAATGATCTGAAATTTTGCACACACATCCCAAATGACTCAACGAAACTATTGCAACTCTCGAAATTCTATTCTGACCCCTATATCAAAATCTCACCTATCAACCGGAAATCGCCAAAACTCTGATTTCGCCAATTCAAGCCTAAATCTACTCCGAACCACCAAAACTCATTCTGATCATGATCCTAAGTTCCAAATCACATCCTGAAGCTAACCGAACCATCAGAACTCACATCCTAGCCCTCTAACACACAAGTCAAATCCGGTTAACTTTTCCAAATTAAACTCACTCTAAAGACTCTAAGTATCTCAAACCTTACCAAATCCTTTCCGAACTCGATCCGATCGACCTGATACCACATAACACGGATAAAAAAAGCATAAAGAAGTAGAAATGGTAGAAATGAAGTGGTAACTCATGAGACAACTGGTCGGGTCGTCACAATCATCCCCTCGGGATACATCATAATCACTCGTAATCAGCCCCTCGAGCATAACATAAATCAAGAATCGCCCCTCGGGCAATAACATGGAACAACATTAGCCCCTCGGGCTATATCAGATCTTACACTGGGTACCCGCGCTCACTAGGGGTGTACAACCTTCGGGAGGGGCCCCTTACGGCCCAAGCGCAATAACAAGTCATCTCGTGGAATAATCAAACAGGCTCTCGGCCTTATATCAAGCCACCTCGTGGCGTAACAATCAGGCCCTCGGCATGAAATCATAAATCAGTACCACACTACTACGATGCGCAGCCCAATCCCATAATATCCTCACAAACACAGGCCCTCGGCCTCACTCAGTCAGAAATCTCTCATACCATTCGGGCAACAGTAAAACATGATGCTCAGCCCAAAATATCATTTAAAATATCAAAACAGGGTGAATATGGCTGAGTTATGAAAACAGTAGATTACAGCATGACTGAGTACAAACATGAAGTAAAAACAGTGAGGAATAGTAGTAAAAATCCCCTAAGGGTCCAAAACAATTGGCATGAGGCCTAAATATGGCATTCAGCCCAAACAGGATAATACTTTCCAAAACACACTGATAGCAAACAGTTATCAATCAAATACACAGTTAAACAATCATACGGGATGGACTAAGTCACAATCCCCAATGGTGCACGACCACATGCTCATCATCTAACGTGTGTGTCACCTCAAAGTAGCACAACAATGTGAAGTCCGGGGTTTCATACCCTCAGGACAGACATTTACAATCATTACTTACCTCAATCTAGTCCAAACTCTAGCCCGCGATTCCCTTGCCTCTAGACTCGGTTTCTAAATGCTCCAAATCTAACCAAATACAGATTTATACCATCAAAATTATACTAAGGGAACAAAGCCCACTCGAAAATAACCAATTTACATCAAAAATCCCGAAATAGGCCAAACTCGGCCCCTGGCCCCACCTCTCGAAATACGATAAAAATCACATCAATAAAATCCTTATCCTCTCATGAGTCTACCCATATCAAATTCATCAAATCCGACCTCAATTGCTCATTCAAATCCCCAAAAGAATTCTCAAACATTTTCTCCATTTTCGCCCAATTTCCACTCTAATTTCTCAAATTAAATGATGAAATTCAAGACTAAATCATGGAATTAAACCAAAGATGAATGAAGAATACTTGCCCCAATTTCTCCACTGAAAATTGCCTCAAATTTCACCTTCTCCTGAGCTCCCTAATGGTTTTTGTGATATTGGACTTAAACCCTCGATTTTTAAATATAAACTGTCTGCTCAGACATTTTCTTCATCGCGAACGCGACAACACACACGTGTTCGCTAAGCACAAAGCTTCACTAACCAAAATTCCTTCTATGTGAATGCGACACCCTAACGCGAACGCAAAGCTTCAGCTTATAAAAGCATCACGAACGCGACTACCAGCTCACGAATGCAAAGAACAACTCTCCAAGTCCCCAGCTGCACACCTTTCATCTACGCGAACGCATCAACACCCTCGCGAACGCGATGACCACTGACCTCAGCCCTTCACGAACGCAAAGGCCAACTCTACTGCCTCACATCCTAACCCTTCGCGAACGCGGGACATCCATCACAAACGAGAAGGCCAAAGCCTGCAACACCCACAACAGAACTTTTTCCAACATGAAATGATTCGTTCAACCACCCGAAACTCATCCGAGGCCCTCGGGGCCTCAACCAAACATTCCAACATATCCCATAACACCATTCAAACTTGTTCCAACCTTTGGAATGCTCAAAAAAACATCAAAACACCAAATCTATATCGGATTCAAGCCTAAGAATTCAAAAAACTTCTAAATTCTGCTTTCGATCAAAAAGTCTATCAAACCTCGCCCGAATGACTTGAAATTTTGCACACACGTCAAAAATGATACAAAGGACCTACTCCAACTTCCGGAATTCCATTTCGACCACTACTTCAAAATCTCACCTATCAACCGGAAAACGCCAAAATTCCACTTTCGCCAATTCAAGCATAAACCTTCCACAGACCTCTAAAATACATTCTGATCATGCTCCTAAGTCCCAAATCACCTAACAGAGCTAATAAAATCTTAAAAACTTCAATCCGAGATCATATACTAACAAGTCAAAACTTGGTCAAACTTTTCAAATTTTAAGCTTCAAATTGAGAACTGTTATTCCAAATTCATTTTGATTACCCTGATAACCAAAACCGATGATTTATATAAGTCATAATACATCACACGGGACTAGTCATGGCCAAAAACTAGTGAGTGAAGTGCAAAAGCTCAAAATAACCGGTCGGGTCGTTACACTTCAGCCTGCAATAAAGTGGAGAGGATTACATTCAGCAAATTAGGGTATATTTATGTTTACATGTACCCTTTCACTTTAAGACTTGGCGTGGAAATAGACCCAATCATCTAGGAGTTTTACCGGAACTATTGAGTTTGTTTGGCTTAGGTAGGACAGGCAATATGGTGCACGATGGCTTGCCTTCAATTCCTGTGTTCCCAGGCTTAGGAAAACCTTACTCTTGCTCATATGATCAACCTCTATGCCCCTAAGATTTTTCGTGGAGGTGTGATCAAAGTTAGAAAACGCGGTCACATGCTATCACCACCAGTATTGATGATGACAACGATCTTGGTTGGATGGAGAGGTTTGTTGTTGTCTCTCCCGGGGATATTTTACCAACATCAGTAATAAGTGTGGATTTTAATCACTTATTAGTACCTTCTTCTATAATTTTTAGTTCAAAAATGGTGAGTTTTGTCTCCAAATCTATTGAAGATGGTTGAATGGTAGATGTGGTGGAGAATGTGACCTAAAATAAGAAATATAACTCAAAGAGGAGATATTCTAGCCAAGTTCATGTAAGAGGAAAACAAGTTCATACTGACAAGCCGGAAGGATTGGAGAATGTGCAATTTAACAAGTCTGAAGCATCCTCAAATGCGGCTAGTAGAAATCTAAGTACAGCCACAAAAGCTGAAGTGCGGTCGTAGATGCTTCAGTACGGCTGCAGAACTACTCCAACTGAAAGCACCCTCAAGTTTAATCTAGCAAAGTGCGGACCGCAGAAGTTAAAGTGCAGCCGTAGGACCTCTGAATGGTATTTGTGTTAGAAATTTTGGAGCACTATAAATAGGCGTGAAACACCTTTTTAGAACATCTTTTTGTATTGCAGCAACAACAATTAGAGAAGATCAATTACTTTTCTATTTTATTTTAGGCGCTACAATTAGAGAGGATCAATCACTTTTCTATTTTATTTTAGCTTTATGTCTTTAATTTCTTCTTTTTTCATCTTTCTATATTCATTATCATGAGTTTCTAGGTTTTAATCTACGGTTGTAATCCAACCCTAGTGTGTAAAACTTATGGGTGTTTAATATTAATGATTTCTATTGATTGGGTTAATGTTATTTAATCTTGTTTATGCTTTAAAGTTAGAATGAATGATTGCAAATATTGATTCATGCCTATTTAACTTTGTTCTTACTTGAGCAATAGGGATATAGTCTAGAAAATCTTGGCTAACAAGAAACTGAACTAGTTGAATTATTTATTAGTTTAATAAAAGAATTTGAACTAGAGATAAAGATAATTCAACTTGGACTCATATGTAATTATTTTTATTGCTACCCATTTCGACTTGAAAAAGCCAATTTCGGCATAATCACTCTTTAACCGAGAGGTATTGGGTGAGCACTTATGTATTGAGAGTCATAAAAAACCCCGATCTATAAAGAAAGCATAAATTACTCTACCCATTAGGTTTACACCTAGGTTAAGGTTACAACCCTAGGCTTTTCTCTATTTGACAAAACCTTAAAACATTTCAATTGTTACTTGTTCATTAGCTAGTCAAATTCCTTAGTAGTTTAATTCAAAATTGATACCACCCTTTTGTTTGAAAGTTAAATCTAGTTATTTTGAGTTTTTCTCTTTAGTATTTACCTCAACACGCATTTTGAAATCCTTGTGGATTTGACCCGACTCCCATTGAATTTATTATTGTAACAACCATTTCATATTCCCTTAATTGGGGAGTAAATTGGACGTGGCAAATTTTTGGCATCGTTGCCGGGGAGTTTACGGTGTTAGGTATATACTTGAGTTTTTTTTCTTGAATTATATTCTTTTTACTTTCGTGATTCTAACTTGTAGAAGTTATTATAGGTTCCAAATGACGAATAGTAAAATTGGAAACATAGCACTGGGAGAGGTGGATGTCGAAGAGGAGCAGCTTGATGAAATGCCACAAGCTCCACAACAAAACTACCGACGCCGTAGACAACAAGACAATGTGCACCCACCTCCCCCACTTCCACCACCTCCACAACCACAAGCCGTGCAACACCTAATTTTTCCCAATGAATGGTATACAAGTGTTATAGTCACTCCTTGCATTAGGGCGACAAACTTTTAAATTACCAATATGATACTCACTTTGCTCGAAGAACGAGTTTATTTCACCGAGGCGCAGAATCAAATGCTTACAAGCATTTGAAAGGTTTTGTGGATATATGTTGGGGGAAGCAAACAAACAAATATCTCAGAAGATGCATTGCGGTTAAGGCTTTTTCCCTTCTCACTAAGGGGTAAGACTTTGGATCTGTTGGTCGCGAAATTTATTTCAAAGTTCTTCTCTCCCCGACACGTGGCAACTCTACGGGATGAAATATTGGTTTTCAAGCTAGAGCTCGATGAACCTTTGCATGAAATTTGGAAGCGGTATCGGACTACGGTGAAGGTGTGCCCGAAAAATGAAATGGCCGACAATATGATCCAACAAACTTTTTACCATGGTATTAATACCACAAAATGTGTGGTTAATTCATTAGCCGAAGGCAATTTTATGACAATACCTTATGCGAAGGTATGTGAGACTTTTGATAAGATGGCGGAAACTTCTTCGGATTGGAAGTCCCGAGCTAATGTTCCCTAAGGTGATCCCAACATAATTCATCTTAATAAAGACTTGCAAGACTATGGGCAAGCCATTACTGAATTTACCACAACCATGACTCAATTCACAAAGGCTCAACTTCATAAAAATCAGGCTCCTAAGCAAGTTTATGCTATGGAAGGGGTGAGTGTTTTATCCAACAAGAAAAGTACTAAGGGTCCACAATTTCAACCCCGGGTGGAGACTTATGCACACGATGATGGTGGTTATGATTAAGATAATTCATATCAAAAGCAAAAAGAGGAGGTACAATTTGTGAATAATTACCAAGGGCAACAGAGCAAGTTTTAAGGCTCCAATCAAAATGAATGGCATTCTCAAAATAACCAAGGGAATTGGCATTCTAACAACCAAGGGAATTGGAATAACAACAACAACAACAACCAAGAAAATAGGGGAGGTAACAATCAAGGAAATTGGGAAAACAATAATAATCATTTAAATCAGAGTTCGGATTTTCAAATACCCCCAATGTACCAACAATAGAGCAACCCAATTTCATGTCCTTCCCATGGTTCAAGTTCTTCAAGCAATAAAATAGGTCGTACTCAGAACATGTTCAAGCAAATGATGAAAAAGAATACTGATTCGAATGCCCAACTTGCCTCACATACCACATCAATACATAATCTTGAATTTCAAATGGGAAAAATCTCTCAATATCTTAATACTCATCCTAAATGTGCACTACCAAGTGATACGGTAGTGAACCTAAAGGGTGGTAACAATACAAGGCATGCTAAGTCAATTATCACAAGAAATGGAAGAGGAGAAAATGAACCCACCTCAATTGAAAAGAAATTTGTAAATGGTGACCAAATTATAAAAGAGGAGGGAATCCCACAAAATGGTGTTCAAGTACAAGATGATATTCAGATTGATATTGATAATAGAGTGGAGGAGACCCTAGAAGAGGTGAATCCGTCTAGGGAAAACATCATTGATATACTAGATTCGGTGGTGCAAAAGGCTAAGGTACCCTTGCCAAATCCTCCACCCTATACCCTCAAAGGCTCTCTAAGCAAAATGGTGAGAATCAATTCAAGAAGTTTATTCAAATGATAAAATATCTCTCTATTAATGTGACATTGGTGGATACTTAGGAACAAATGCCTGGTTATGCCAAGTTCATGAAAGATCTTGTGACCAAGAAGAAGTCAATGAACTTTGAAATAATCAAGGTCACTCATCAAGTGAGTGCAATTGTTCATTTTATGGATCATAAGTTGGTGGATCCTGATACTTTTACAATTCCTTGTATTATTAGAAGTGCCAATTTTGCTAAATCTCTTTGTGATCTTTCGGAAAATATTAATCTGATGCCCTATTCGGTGATCAAACCTTTGGGGATTGGAAAACCAAGACCCATAACTATGAGGTTGAAAATGGCTGATCGTACAATGAAGAGACCGTTGGGAGTGATTGAGGATGTATTTGTCCGAGTTGATCAATTTATTCATCCGGCGGACTTTGTGATTCTAGATTGTGAGGTTGATTATGAAGTGCCTATCATTCCTGGGAGGTCTTTCCTTTCTATGGATAAGACCCTTTGTGATGTTGAAGTCGGGGAACTCACTTTTGGGGTTGGTGATGAACGAGTGGTATTTCATGTGTGTAAGTCTATGCGGCAACGAAATAGCAATGAGGTGTGCTCTTTTGTGGAGTCAGTGAACGATGTCATTGTTGATGATACTACTACTAAAACAATGTTGGTGATATGTTGGAACTTATTTTGCTCAACTTTGATGATGATAAGATGGATAGTTTGATGGAATGCGTGAATTCGTTGCAGGGAATGAGGTCTTACAACTATGCACCTCGAAAATAGTCATTGGATCTATCAGATAGGAAGACTCCTCCTAAAAAGCCTTCAGCTGAAGAGTCACCAATCTTGGAGTTGAAGCCATTTCAACCTTACCATTAGTATGAATTTCTTGGCCCTTGTTCTACTTTACCAATTATTCTTTCCTCTTGTTTGACTAACGTGCAGGTAGATTCCATATTGGCAGTCTTGCAAAGGAGGAAAAAAGCTATTAGATGGAATTTGGCAGATATTCGGGGTATAAGCTTAAATTTTAGATGCATTAGATCAAGTTAGAGGACGGTCCTAAATCATCCATTGAACATCAAAGAAGACTCAATGAGGCTATGCAAGAAGTGGTCGAAGAGAAGATTATCAAATGGTTGGATGCCGGAGTTGTCTACCCCATTTCCGATAGCTCATGGCCTCTCCAGTCCAATGTGTCCCAAAGAAAAAGAGCATGGCGGTTGTTACCAATGATAAGAACGAGTTGATACCTACAAGAACTTTCAGCGGTTAGAGAGTTTGTATAGATTACCGTAAGCTCAACAAAGTCAAAAGGAAGGACCATTTTCCTCTTCCTTTCATGGATCAAAATGCTTGATAGGTTGGCCGGTCATGCCTTCTAATGCTTTCTTGATGGTTACTTAGAATATAACCAAATTCTTATTGCACCGGAAGACCAAGAGAAAACTAGTTTTATGGTACTTCTGCATTCAAACAGATGTCTTTTGGATTGTGCAATGTGTCGAGGAGTTTTTAACGATATATGATGGCTATTTTTATGGACATGGTCGAAGACTACCTTGAGGTCTTCATGGATGACTTTTCGGTAGTTGGGGATTCATTTTGATGATTTTCTTGCTAATTTGGACAAGGTGTTGTCTAGATGTGAGGAAACAAATTTGCTACTCAATTGGGAGAAATGTCATTTCATGGTTGAGGAAGGCATTGTCTTGGCCATAAGACTTCAAAGTTAAAGTGGATAAGGAAAAGATTGAAGTTATTTCAAAGCTTCCAGCCCCTACCTCGATGAAGGGTGTGAAGAGTTTCTTGGGCCATGCGGGATTCTACCAGGGATTTATCAAAGACTTCTCTAAAGTGGTGAACCCTTTGTGCAAACTCCTAGAGAAAGATGCCAAGTTCCATTTCGTTGATGATTGTATGAGAGCTTTTGAACACTTGAAGCTGATAAGTGTGGATTTTGGCCACTTATTAGTACCTTTTTACTTTTGTTTTAGACCGAAAGTATTGATTTATATTCCCAAAACTAATGAAAGTATTCAAATTGCAGGAATGTTGGAAATTTGGGCTAAAATAAAGAAATCCAACTCAAAAAGGAGTGTTTCGGCTCACTAGGAAAGAAGGGGAGCAACCGACCAAAAGCGCAGTCTGCAGAAGCAACTACGGACTGCGGAATTCTCCTTGCAGCTGCAGATCTATTGCTGAAGCTCAGAGATGGAATGAAGAGAAGTGCGGACCGCACACAATTTGTGCGGCCGCAAATCAAAAGACTATGGAAAAAGTAATCTTGAACTCACCAAAAGACTCATTTGAAGAAACCAGTCAAACCCACTTGATGTCGTGTTCAAACAACTAGGAATAGCTATGAACCAGCAATATTAGAAAAAGTAATAAGGAATGCATGCTACTTTGAATTTCTCGACAATTTTAAAAGTTATAAAGCAAAAACTTTTGCCCGATTGCGAAATTTCTTCTATTATCCATTGGATATCTATGTTCCCATTGTATATGAGCCTTAGATTCATGCCCAATTTGTTGTATTGGAAGCAAGAATCTCAAATTATTGAAGATGAGAGAAAGTGGGCGAGTTTGATATAGAGAGAGAATGTGTGTCTGTAAGCAGATTTGGGCCAAGATAAACTTTATTTTAAAAAGACATAGCGACGAAAATGGCTTTGAAAATAATTTTGTCGCTAATAATAATTTGGGAAAATTATTTTTATGAATCTAGCGAAGGAATTTCCATCACAATTAAATTTGGAATGTTTTGATAAGTAAAATAAACGCAGCGATAAAGTTTATTGTCGTTAAATCCGTCGCTATATTTTAATAATTTTTGACACCCTACTTTCGTCGCTAATTTTATAGGTAAATAAAGGCGCTAATTTTTAGTGCCCATTTTTAGCAATGGATGTAAATTTCTGTCACTAATCCATCGCTATATTTGTTACTAAATGTAACGATCCGACCGGTCGTTTTGAGCATTTGCATTTCTCTCAGTAGTTTGGGTGCATGAGTTGTCCGTATGATGTATTAGGACTTGTGTGCAAAATTTGAGTTCATTTCGAGTTGATTTGATATGTTTTGGCGCGAGTTTTTGGAAGTCGAAAGTTCGAAAGTTCATTAAGTTTGATATGAGGCACGTTTCATCATTTTAATGTTGTTATGCATGATTTGAGACCTCGAGTTGGTTTGTGTTATGTTATGGGACTTGTTGGTATGTTCATACAGGGTCCTGAGGGGCTTGGGTGAGTTTCAGATAGGGTTGGCTGCGTTGCGCTCGTTTTTCTTATGTTTTGACGTCATTTCTTCAAGTTTAAATGGTACCATATTAAGCAAATGATCTCCGATTTCTATTTTGATTGAAGCATTAGATCCATATAGTAATTATGTAGCATAACAAAAAGAATCATCGAATTTGAACATCGTATGAGGAATTTATGGTCATTTTACTAAGAATTGGATTGCCAGATTTTTTAGATTAATTATGAAATTGCCACTAAATTCATATTTAAAAATCTGCACTATTTGCAAATATTGAAACCAACATATCTCCTTCATTATAAGGTAAAATGGAGTGATTCAAAAGCCTAACTTGACTAAAATTTCACAAGAAATCCATTTGAGGCATAAAAAGTGAGTTTTGAGATCGTTTGGCACAAGAAACGAGGCAAAATAACTGGTAGAAAATATATATAAAATAAGGGTTTGTTAATTTGGTCATATTTTGAGTTGGGGAGTTCAGATTTGGGAAATTTCGGATGCGATTTTCACCATATGGATTTGGGTAAGTGTTCTCTTCTCGGCTTTGGTTATATTTCATGAATCCATTTTTGTTTTTGTGATTTGATTGATGATTTCAAAGTGAAATTTGGGGTTTTTGCCTAAAGTTTCGTAAAGTAAATTTTTAAGTTTTGAACAACGATTCAGTTGGACTCATAACTGAATGAGTTGTCGAATTTTGTGAGTTTTGTCGGGTTCCGAGGTGCGGGCCTGGGTTGGGCTTTTTGGCCGATTTTTGGCTTTTGATTAAAGATTTGATCTTTTTTAATTGGGATTGATTCTTTTAGCATTGTTTGATATATTTGAGTTATTTTTGGTTAGTTTTGAGCCATTTGGAGGTCGGAATGCGCGAGATGGATTTTTTGGACTATCGCTTGACTTTCTCGGTATTGTGAATTGGCTTGATCGAGATAAGTAACTCTTCTAAACTTAGTGTTGAGGGTATGAAATCCCGAATTTCGAGTTATGTGATTGGTGTTGAGGTGACTCACATGCTAGGTGACGGATGTGTAGGTCTGCACCCTGTGAATTGTGACTGTTGTTTTTCATGGCATTGTATAGTGGCCCTATCTTGTGATATCTGCATTTTCACCACGTAATAAGGTAATTGAGTTGTTAATCATGCTAGATATCTTGTTTAGGCTTTATGCCAATACTGTTGGGACCCATAGTGGTCATTTCTTGCTGTCATCTCACTAGTGATATTTCGTACTTAGTCATATTCATGCATTTATATCATATTGTAAGGCCCTGTGAAAACTTGTACTCAAAACCTGGTAACTCGGACCTTTTGTACTGATCTATGCTATAAAAAGTCAAGAAATACTGCTTTCCAAAAAATGCGATTCTGCGGTCGAGAATGCGGTCGCATATCAGGTATGCGTACCGCATAATCGCCACAAAGTGAGTCAGTGTGTTGGTCGAATTGGAGGTTAAATATGCGATCCGATATGCGATCGCATAACTGATATGCGGACCGCATAGTCGTACCATATTTGAGATTTTTGTGAGGGGCAGTTCTGCGGTGCATTATGCGACCGCAGAACGAGTATGTGGACCGCATTTCTGACGAATACCCAGGCAGTGCGTTCAGATGTTGAGAGCACTTTTGCGGTCCATTCTGCGGACCGCATTTCCACTCTGCGATCGTAGACCTGACTCGGGGCCCCAATTTTCTAAATTTTAAACTCGACCCCTTCTTCAATAAAACACCCCAACCCCTCATTTTAACCTATTTTCTGAACAAAACTAGAGAGAGGTAAGAGAGGATTCCTGAGAGAGAAATCCTTATCTCCATCAATTTGATTTTTCAAAGTCACTCGGGACGGGGAATTTCAAGTAATTGTCTTCATCTCCATTCTTGCAGGTAAAATCCCCAACCCTTTTTCATTGTTTTCAGATTTAAACAAGAAGGGGGATTCTCATGAGTTAATTCTTGAAAATGGAAGTTGAGATACACATGCATGTCCTTTAAAACCTAGAATCTAGTAAGTGGAATTAGGTAGAACTAAAGACTTGCAAAAGAGGAGTTGGAAACCTAAGTAAGTTTGGGCTGAGTTTGTAAACTTCAATTCTAAGTTATATGTGCTAACTTGTGAACTAGATTAACGGCACTAGGCTGTTGGTGAATTGAAAGTAGAAGTTAAAAAGGGAATTCGACTCCAGGTATGTATGACTAACTTTAACCTTTGTAAAGTCACCTTATTGGTGTACGAGTAATTGGTATGTGTTACTTATGTGGACTATTTGTGAAATTCTTGTGATTAATGTGCCTTGAACGTTGTTGGTTAAATTTTCCATTATAGTGGTATGAGTAAAATGGCAATAACACAAGTGCGTGTGGGTATGAATGTGTTACGTGGTAAGAGCTGTGGAACAAACGATGGAAAGAAATCGTAATTGATACAATTGAAACAACAGTGGCAATATCATACGTGACTTGTTGTGGGCAATTATCGTTGTGACTTGAATTGTGTACGGGTTATTGTATATGTTGGAATTTGTATTGATGTCTATGAACACTCTTTGTGAATTGTTGTTGTTGTTGTTGTGTGAAATATGATTGTCTGGTGGGATCGGTTGCGTGCCGCAACATGAAGTAATAAGTTGTGGGTTGTGGTGATAAGAGTGGCCGAGGTAATAAGGGAGGCCGAGGTAATAAGGGTGGAAAAGTGATCGAAATCACTATTGAAATGAAAATATGTGAAAGTTGTGAAATCGTTGATGTGATGAAATAATGTTGAAAAGGGAAAAGGAGAGATTGTGAAACTTGTTTGCTTTGGTTGTTCCTTTCTTGTGCATTTGGTTGTTGATTCTATTATTGTTTATTACTTGTGTATTGTTTGATTTTACTTGGGGTACCAGTACAATTCAAATGTACTGACGTCCCTTTTTCCCGGGGGTGCTACATTCGTGTTATGATTGTAGGTGGTTCTAAAGCAGGTACTCCAGTCCACCGGCAGTAGCACCTTCTCCTCTTTCCGTCAGTTGTGTTGGTGAGCCCCTTTCCTCTCGGGACCCTGCGTGGCTCACACTGTTTTTCTTTTCGGAGTCTTATTTTTGGTAATTGTGTAAGGTATAGCCGGAGCCTTGTTGCCGGCATTTCCGTATTATTCTTCAGTTGTTTTTAGAGGCTCCGTAGACAGGAAATGTGGGTTATGCACTTATGTATTTTGGGCAGTATAACTTGTAAACTACCCTGAGTAACTATGTATGTTATGTAAATCCCGTAATAATGTGTTTAAATTTATAAATGGCTATTTCACTTGGTTAATGGGTAATGGAAACGCAGGGTATCACGTGGAATAGGAAACGCACCCAGGTCAGCTTGGCTGGGGGCTACCCGGTCGAGCGCCGGTCGCGCCCCTCGGTTTTTGTGGCGTGACAAACTTGGTATCAGAGCCTAAGGTTTTAAAGTGTCCTAGGATGTCTCGGA